CCTAACGTAACCCAACCTAACCCAACTCAACTTAACGTAACCTAACCTAAACTAACTTAACCTAACCTAAACTGAACTGAACTAACCTAACCCAACCTAACACCCTAACTAACCTAACCTAACCTAAACTAACTTAACCTAACCTAAACTAACCTAACCTAACCTAACCTAAACTAACCTAACTAACCTAACCTAAACTATCTAACCTAACAAAAATTAACCTAACCTAACCCAACCTAATTTCACCTAACCAAACCTAACATAACCTTACCTAAAATTACCTAACCTAACCTAACCTAACCTGAATTAACATTACCTAACCTAAACTAACATAACCTAGCCTAACCTAACCATACTGAACTGACCTAACTAACCTAACCCAACCTAACTAACCTAACCTAAACTAACCTAACCCAACCTAACTAACCTAACCTAAACTTAACCTAACCTATACTGAACTAACCTAACGTAACCTAATCTAACCCAACCCAACTAACCTAACCTATACTGAACTAACCTAACCTAACTAACCTAACATAACCTAACCTAACCTAAACTAACCTAACCTAACCCAACCTAAACTGAACTAACCTAAACTGAACTAACCCAACCTAACCTAATTATAGTTTCGAAGTATTCTAATAAAAGCGGGAACTCTAGTTATTTCTAGAACATTGTGCATTAATGTAACTTAGAATTTCGTTTCCTTACCCTTTTTAATGTTGCTTTTGTATTTCTCGTATACACTTAAGGAGATATTGTGCAGCGCACGGCATAGAGAACAAACTCAGATTTGTGCGTAGTCCAGAGAGTGCAATCTTTCCAGTCTTATTCCTTGTGTAAATTGTTGATCGGGGCAGTCAAGGCCTGTGATGATAACGATGGTAACTGCTGATTTAACCCAAGTTTTCGTAACAGGCAAGAGTGACGCTGCCTCGATGGGGAAGGCAAGAAGCACGTAGCGAGGATTGAAAATGGTACCGTACATTTCACACCTATACTGAAAAGTTCTTAATAAATAATGATTCCTAATGCATACAGTAATTACCATTCAATATGATATTATCGACTTACTACAAACATTATAGCTACTTTTATTACAATTATATATCTTCACGTATAAATGTTTATGTGGACATCCACCTCAAATGCTCATGCACGGTGAATATAAGAAATTATTGTTTTATTTGTTTAGAAAGAAACTCATTTCTAAACTTTATTATGTAATAAAGCGCATCCATGATACTCACTGTGAGATCCTCAATCATGACTTCCGGAACCACATTCTCGTCTCGCAACCACAGTTCGTGACACGTTCGAATGAAAATGTTGATCGCTCGAAGCCTAAGAACAAAAATGTAAAATGAGTTTAAAATATTAGTGAATATTACTGTTAAAATCTTCAAATTATTATCTTACATATGTAAACAAACTTTCAGTGGTACGTAATATGAGAGTGAGATTCATAAAGCTGATATCAAGTGACTCACATAAATACTAACTAAAATCTAAGATATTGTAGATGCGTCATATTGTGATTTATTTAAATAGTATTAAAAATATATATTAAAATTAGCCGTCGATCACAATATAATATAATTAAAAGATTAAAATATCATTTTATGTTCCCTATCGAGTACTCGATTAACATGTGGAACATACACGACATGTTTCGGCTATATATAGCCATCTTCTGGTGTTATGTTATAAACTTTTCACTGAATTTCTGATTTTTTACTGATTTTTAATGATTTTTACAACGAATGAAGAAACAATATAAAGGACAAGAACATCATAGAAAAATGAAGACTAAAAATCATTAAAAATCAGTAAAAAATCAGAAATTCAGTGAAAAGTTTAAATACATAACACCTGATGATGGCTATATATAGCCGAAACATGTCGTGTATGTTCCACATGTAAATCGAGTACTCGATAGGGAACGTAAAATGATATTTTAATCTTTTAATTATATTATATTGTGATTGACGGCTAAATTTAATATATATTTTTAATACTATTTAACTAAAATCTGTTAACGATTCTCTCAAGCATCCATCTATTATGGACGGTTCCATTCACTGGAATGAGGACAATTCAGAAAGAGGAAAAATGCTTAACAATTTTGAAATTAATAACCCTATCGTTCAATACATTTGTTTTCAAAAGCCCCCCCAAAAAATTTCCTAATTTGCTCTCAATACTTTTGCGGCATTAAGCCACCTTCGCACTGCTCCTCTCTTTATCTACTTCTTAAATTCAACACGTGTTGGAGTCTACGACCATCCAGAAAGGACAATATTCCCTCTTTGAAATCTTCCACCTATCCTTAAACTTTCTCCTGACTAATACACCATTACGAAAATACTGAACTGCAATTCTTTAACAAATTTTACTAGTTTTCGATACTCTGAGACAAAAATTGTCCGTCTATGGAGCAGACACGTTAAATATGACACAGTATTAGCACGACTCAAAATGCAAATGGAAAACCTAATCTGTGTGTAAACTGGAGAATATTTTTCCAGAGATACCAGCATCGCTTGTATATTTCACGTGCACGTAAACATTAACACCTTAGATTCGAAAACCTTAGATTTGAAGCCATCTTAAAATGGCCTTAATAAAATTGTGTCTGCCTTACAATATATATTACATTTCGTAGAAGAAAAAGTCACCTCTATACTAAATACATGCAAGACGTTATAGAGCATGAATGTTAGAATAGAGGACAGACTCACGCACGCACGCAAAGTCAAAGGTAATTTTGTTACACTTTCAGTTCTCAGTACAAAGCAATTAGTGCTTAATTTGTGACAGCCGAGGGACACATCACTCTCTCTTATGCACTATTTATCTTCTACAGAATCAATAAAATATATACATAGAGGAAGAACGGAAATCGAGAGCAGAAAATAATTTTACAATTTCTAACGAATGTAGAAACTGGGACCCTCAAGTATTACAAAGGCTGTATGGTTCTTGACAATCGAATGTTGAGATTTTCAGGAAAATGCCAACTGAAAATCCCTTAATTCAGACATTACATGGCATTACATGCACAATTTATAACGAAGTTAAATTATCATTACATACAAATTACTCTACTTTGTTTCCTAACTCTGTTATGAGTTTTATAAGCTTCTTAAATACTAACCTATTTCGCTGTTAAATTACGTATATTCTGCAAGCGTAAGTGTAAAATTACTCTAACCTAACGATGTGGCCATCGTTAAATTCAATTCCCTGCTTCTATGTCTCTGCAATAAGGATCTAATCCACAACGACCACAAATGCCTTGTCAGTTACAAGTAAAAATGCCAATTTTAAATGCTTTGTATCACAGCCTCCTCTGAGACGCGCGTGTTGTAGTGCAACATTACAGAATATTCTTTAATTCAGAGAATAAAAATAATCAATTTGAAACCACAGAAATGCATGTCCATTGTAGTCTTGTGGGTGGTGATGCCACGAGGCCTTGAAGAAGATTATCCGTGTTCGAGAGGAATGTATTGCTTACAAATGGAGGTGATACACCAAACCCTGACCATGGAGGCAAATTAATTCCTGTTAAATATTGGTTATCAACAACAAGACTACAAAGCATTACAACGCAGAAGGCAACTGTCATGAGAACCTCAGATCTCGTATACCAAATACATACATTTCTCTCATTTAAAGCATTAATTTAATGTTCATGTTTCAACGTTGCAGTCGCGCAGTTAGCATTCTCACTTTTTATGTTGCAGGTAACAAGCTCAAAACTGAGCCTGGAGGCTGGTCGTCCTGAACGAGCATTTGTATGCTTCCTACACTTAAAGAAAGGTCGGAATCTTAAAACAGGTCGTGACCACAGATCCTTCACAATTGGTATAAATTGTTGTTGTATTGCCAGCAGGTGATTTTCCGTACGTAGCGTAAAAAGTGTTTCAAATCTTAGCAGGAGAAGTTGTCAAACCCGCGAATTACAGAAAGCATCCCAAATGTACGACGTTTTCAAAGTATAAATATTTATTATCTTATCATAATCAAACCTATATTCATGTTAGTAAATGCTGTCACAAATTAAGCTGTAAACATTCCAATAAACTAGAGTAATATAAGATATTGTAGGTGCGTCATATTGTGATTTATTTAAATAGTATTAAAAATATATTAAAATTGGCCGTCAATCACAATATAAGATAATTAAAAGATTAAAATATCATTTTACGTTCCGTATCGAGTACTCGATTTAAAATGAAAACTAAAAATCATTAAAAATCAGTAATTCAGTTAAAAAGTTTATAACATAACACCTGATGACGGCTCTATGATAGCCGAAACATGTCGTAAATGTTCCATATGTAAATCGAGTACTCGATACGGAACGAAAAATGATATTTTAATCTTTTAATTATCTTATATTGTGATTGACGGCCAATTTTAATATATTTTTAATACTATTACACATTATAAGTAATCGATAAAATAAAATTAAACAAAATTCTATAGTATAGAGCTACTGCATGCGGACGTAATGATGGATAATAGATGAGGAGAAAGCGGTAAGGATTCATCAAGTTCTGGCTGCCTTTACCATCAGACTGCTTTTATTCTGTAGTTGTTACACCGATCACCCAAAATCTCAATACCTATTTAGTTGCTTTCAAACATCGGTTTGTATCTGTATAATGGTTACGTATACGTGGTTATGAATTCGACAGGTACTAGATTTGATTCTTTGCTAGGGACTTCCGTGATTTTCATAAGTGATTTCAGGCGAATTCTTGCGTTACACATCCTGATGTATTCTACTGTTGATATATTATCTTATAACTGAATAATGAAGTTCATTTAATTTAATATAACATCAAGTGTAATGACAAAGAATATATCAGAGCAAGGATTATCAGTCATTTGGAGGTCTGTGGCCACGATAACCATTTCTTACCAACCCACCGACACGTACGTATAGAAATTACGACATTTATTGAAAAGCCATACGAAATCCATAAACATTTATAAAATGTACTGAATATAGAGGGTGTGCGTGGTTTAAGCATTAGTTAACAAGTGGTTATTAATACAGAACACAACTGCAATCACAAACTCCTTTCTGGCTTCCGCTAGAACCTATGTGACTAACATACGCAGCGATCATTCAAGCCTGAGCCTGAGATTAGGTACCAATCTCATTATTTTGATGCTGGATATAATAATTACTGCAAACATCTGTAAAAATATTAGATTTAAAGTAAACGAGAAATAACGTAATCAAAATGAACGCAGGAGAGCGAGAGGCAATGTACAGAAAGTTCAAACGAAAGCTTATGCATTATGATATGGATTACTGACGAGAGAAAGGAACTACATCTGAAATAGCAGATATAATACCTCAATCAACTTGTTACTATTTAAAGTAGACGCAACGTAGAATGGGACATTCACACTGGAAAACTTGACGTACTTCCTTAAATCTTAGCAGCCCAGGAATTATATTCCAGATATCAGCGTGTCTAAAACTATCCGACAAAGATTATTCATGCCCATAGAATGATATAAATTTTCATACAGAGAGGTCTTATAGAATACTTA